TGATATATATACACACACATATATATATATATATATATATAATCACAGCAACCATAAAAACACATACAGTTAGCAGTTTTATAGATAGGTAACAATTTATAAATCAATAAATGGATACCTATCTGTATAACTGTAAACTATATGTGTTTTTATGGTTGCTGTGATCATATATAGCTTGTAAGAGTAGGGTCAGTTAATCTTTTTGACATTCGTAGTGAGTACGATTTGAAGATATCAATAATTTTTAATGAGAATCTAATCAGTTGATACTACCTGAAATGTACTGGCAGCATGAGACCTACTCATATCATTTCGAGAAAAACTCCACTACGAGTGTCTTAATCGTCTTCAATAGAGTTGGATGGTTGGGTTTATATTATCCTTGACGTAGGGTTCTTGCAAGGTTGCGATGCAGTTCGTACGCTCTGCTGCACATGAAGGACGAAAGTTCGTCCAGCTTGCTTCAGAACCAAAAGGAGGAAGCCTCGTTGACTTCATCAATTCCAGTCCTACAGTAAACTCAAAAGAATGTAGAACAACACAATCCGCCATTGTCTTCAAGTGAGACAGACTTTCTAACCCTTTCATCGAATAAATCACGATAACAACCTATCAGTACCCAGCCGCGATGAGTTCAAGGCCCAAAATCTTTGGACGGCTTATGTCAAAAAAGTTTCGGGTTTTTGGACAAGACAAGAGCTCAAAGTCTGAGAAGTTATTCCACCAGAATCGGCCTCGCCAAGCAATCCCCCACAAATGAGACACAAACAAGTGTCTTATGTTTGAAGTGATCTACAAGATCTGGTTGCTCCTTTACTCTATTTTGGATCGTTCGACCTGACAGACCCCAAAGGAGCCCAGTCCTCCTGAGCTCCATCCGTGCGTAACACGACCACTTGCTCAAGATACCAGATCCCAGAAGGTTGTACACGGTTTCCACTGGCGACCAAAGATCAGGTTAGTAGACAAGCGGTTCGGCATTTATTCGGCACAGTCCAAACAGCAAATGTACCAGATACTAACGGACAAAGCAAAGCCAGTCTTCACGTAACTTGAGTGTGTTTTTGTTTCGGGTAAACTGTGAACGTGTCAAAAGACAATTGTCTGACACGTTTGCATAACATATTTACAGACTTTCTTTATTGCCCGATTTAAGCGTTCAACTGTACACAACGGCATGTCTACACAAGTCGACGCGTGTCGTTCGAGTGTATTCGAGTGCCTGTAGATTCATCTTCGAGAATGGGAGATGGGGTGGCGAGTCAACCACATGTCCAACCTGTGCATACATACACAGAAGCTTGTCTACACACATGTGTGCATAGTGAGACAAACGGAGGGGAGAAAAGGGAGTAGATCGCCGTTACAACCGCTTCTGGTTCGACAACTCGCTTTTGGGTCTTGTGCCAGCCCACTCAGCCAATCGCTCAGACCGGAGGTACCAAAAAGTGGTCGGGTCTGATACTCTGTGAACGAGCCGAGAACTGCTGCACACGATGAGAGTATGTTTGATCTCAATTAGCAGCAGATTGTTTTGTTTTCGGCTCAGATCGTCTCGAGGGTACATGATGCCTCAGCCGAAGAGCCACTTCACGCCGTGATGGGTGTGACGAAAGACGCAGCAACCGATCTCCACGAGAGCCGATGATTACGACTCTGGCGCCCTTTAAAGCCTCCCAGAATGCTGACTCCACATGCACAATCACATTCACCAAATGCATGCCCACGACTACCAGGATCCAGGCGAAGTTCACACCCCATGTTTCAGACCATCCTTGGGAAGTGACCCTTTTTATGCGGAATGTTTTGCCCATTTCCCTTCAGAGCATTGCTTCTGCAGTTCTGCAAATGGCTCCGATCGTATGGCAGCCGCTGACCTCGCTGACTAAAATAATGGCACCAGTTGAGCTCAGTTCTTGTGGAATAACTTTTCGTTTCGAAGGATTGGTCTCACCGGAAACGGAAGAAGGACTATCGCGGTAGAGTGAAGATGATTGAATTAGTCCAAGAAAGCAAATTACGGAAAAAAAAGGTGGTCGGCTGCAATCAAATGCAAATCGTATACCCGATTTTGCGATCCTAAAGAGGCATTCTATGCTTTCGTTTGCTATTTCATGCCTTACATACATTCTCATAATTGGCCGAGGCTGACGCATGGAAAGAAGGCTAATGTCGAAGCCGCTATTTCCTTGTCAAAATGGTCAAACGTACTGGCAGTCTCAAAACTCTACTTATATAAGAGAAATAAGTAATACAGTCGGTTGTTATGGGAAAAATACATTTGCTTCATCGACAATTCCACCAAAGAATGTGACATGGGAAAATGCCCGGCGTTCCGTGAGATGCACATCTGCCCGGTTCGACTCCCACTGGGGGTGTTGATAAGACCGAGGTCTGGATGAGAACAACTTTTGGGAAAGTAAGTCAGCTCTACTCATATGATGGTGAGAAAATTCAACTACATGAAATGGGGCAAAGTCAGCTCAGCTAAATGATTTAATGGTAGTCTCGAAACCCTATTTATAAACGAAAAAAGAATTTTTATAACCTACTGGATCGTTGAGGCTTTAGACTGAAGGATTGACG